AAAAGAAAAAAGAAAGAAAAAAAGAAAAAGAAAAAGAAAATGGTAGCAGGTCAAACAGATTACGGTACAACTGTTCCAGTTAAAGCTTCTTGTTGTCTACCCCGTCCTCAGGAGCATCAACAATTCCCTCCCCCTTCACACTTGTATGGGCCTCAAATCTTCTTAAATGTATGTTAACGGAAAGGAACATGGGATTTAGTGTCAGATGTGGATGGAAAGCTAGGGTCTGTCATGTATTAGCTGTATAACTTTGAGCAATATCCTTACTCTCTCTGAGTTTCAGTTTCCTCATCTGTAAAATGGTAAAAATTAATACGCAGTCCTCATAGTGTTTGGAAAGTAAATAATATAACATAAGTAAAGACATTACAATAGCTGGCACATAGCAAACAATGAGTAAATGGTTTATACAAAACAGGATGTGAAGGAATAGTTAAAAGTTTGGGATGAAAAACAGAAGAATAATCATTGTAACAGAGAAATAAAACCAGAGGTGTAGTCCCCAAATTGTCAATAATGATTTCTTTTGGAGAGATTATGAGATGCACTTTCTTTTTATATTGTACATTTCTAAAATGTTTGAGTTTTTAAATAAAAACCAAGCATTACCTTTGAATTGGAAGGAAATGAAAATGTTTTCAAATACCCATTCTCTTCATTCTCAGTATCTCCATTAAAGTTCTGTTGTTAATCTCTTCCCTAGACTCTACCAAGCTGGAATCTCAGTCTCCCACCCAGAAGCCATTTGCTACATTGCCACCAGAACTCCTCATGTCTAGTCCCTGGATGATTCCATGTTGCTTACAGAATGACATTCAAATTCCCTAGCAGGACTTCGAAAGCTCTTCATAAACTGGTTTCAGTCTTTGCAGCTTCATACCGCATCCTTTCCTCTGACTCACACAAAGCTCTCATCACACCAGAATTCTTGTCAGTCTCCAAACACATAAAATCTCTTATATACTCTCACCTTCCTGTGGGCTGAAATGGCAATGAACAAAGTGATCTTAGATAGCACGTGCTGAAGATGACAGAGCTCCCTGATGACCTAGAAATCTGCTCTGCACTATTATGTGAGAAATATACTTATCTTGTTGTGGGGCCACTTCGCTTTGGGATCTATATGTTACAGAGGCTTCGCATACCCTAACTAATACATGATACAAGGATATTTCCCTTTCCAGAACTGAAAGAAACAATTCTCCAGTAAAACAATTATTTTGCAACCAAAACCAAAATCATCATAGCATATTACTTTGCTCACTAAGGAATAAGAACTATACAATCATAATAATCTAAATGTGATTATTAAAACTTAAAATTATGATAAAATTTATTAAGAAAAAAGGGAAAGGAAATAGAATGGTGGCAGTAAAAAGACCATCATTTAGTTTATCTTGTCAAAGATACTGCTTAAAATTGATAAATGAAAAATTAGTATAAGTTCATTATTTGTAACACAGAAGTAAAATATGATGAAAACAATGATGAACAAATAAACAAATGAACAAATAAAAAAGATGAAAGTGGTTGTCTTTGGGTAGTAGGTCTGAAAAATGGAGAAGAGGTGAAGAGGCTGGGCACGGTGGCTTCCGGCTATAATCCTAGCACTTTGGGAGGCAGAGGCGGGTGGATCACTTGAAGTCAGGAGTTCAAGACCAGCTTGGCCAAATAGTGAAACC